TGAGAAGTATAGGTGCCCTCAGTTGTTACATTACTATCGTGTTGGTTCATATCTTGGGACCCTCCAAGCCTGCCAAATTATATGTATAGAAGTTCTTTTACCCAGATCCTGCGAAAATCATCCTACCCTTACAGGAGCCAGAACCTTGTGATTCTGACAGCTTGGCCGACGCAGGGCTTTCAGATGCGAAGGCCACTCTTACAGGCATTTTATAAGGTTAGATGGGTACATTTCCTTGGCCGCTTCGTGTTGCAATCCGTCCTTATATTAGAAGCACCCAAGGCAAGGATGGCTGCGTTGGATATCTCTGGGGAGCCTAGCCTGCAAAAGCAATCCAAACCTCTGGGACCAGATCTATATAAACATTAACAGCCAAGGCTGCGGATGATGCGCCAGCCAGCGACGCTTTCTCTGAGTTCGGGGAACTCAAGGGCCTCGCGAGTCTGACGGATGAAGATGAGAGCGATGAATCAGAAGATGTTCCCGGTGACCCTTACATGACAAGTGATGTTCCATGGTTTGCATGAATGTGGGCCCGGTAGGAAGCATGCACGATTCTTGCAAGTGCCATATAATTTGTCACACGTATATATGAGGCTACCGATGACAATCTCGCGCCGGCTATGCTGAATACCAGGTTCGAGAGTGTTGCAAGCCCTGCGAAGCCAGCTTTGGTAACACCGCCTGCCCAAAAAGGCAAGCCCAGTCCCTGCACAGGCGAGAAAGCCCCGCGACCCCAGGACCCCTTGCAAAAGCAGTTGGCAAAGATGCAAGCGCAGCTGCAGGAGCAGGGAGCTTTGATAGCGCAGTACAAGGCAAAGGCTTCTAAGCCCAAGCCCCCCCCTCCGAATCCACTTGAGCAGCAGCTTTTGGCGATGAAACAGCAGTTGGATCGCCAAGCCCAGCTCCTTGAAGAGTATGCACGGTCAAGCGCAAGCAACACCCCCAGCCCAAGCACAGCCGCAGCCCCCTCACGGAAGGCCTTGGACAAGCCATCCCCGAAGCCCCCAACCCCAGAAGAACCAGGCGAGCCTCCTCAGGACTCTCAGGGTCACGTGGATGTTGATGATGATAGCGCGGACATCGTCACACCTGATGGCACGCGATTGCTGAGCAAGGATGCCTTGAGAATGAGGCTCAAAAGGATGTGCGAAATGAAAAAGACAGGCAAGTGTTGGGTTGATGAGGCCACCAGAAAGAACTACGAAGCTGGCGGGGCAGAGAGGGAAAACATTGGAAATCGCACTCTTGGAAACGATCAAAGCGATTGGACCCAGTGCGCCGCACCAACAGACGCGAGCCCCCTGACCTTTGTTTGTGTTTTGTTGTTTAAAATCTGGTTGAGCCCAAATGTATTTGCTAAACTTTGGCGCTACCTAGTCCACCTTCGTCACCCGCGTGACCTTTGTGAAAGAGCGTATGGAGCAGCGCGACAATGAAGTAATCGGAGAATGGCTTACGGAAGAGCGCATGAAAAGCAAACACAACTGGTCCAAGTGCTTTGGCTATATGAAAACCTGATTGGTCTTGATGTCTTCAAGTGAGGTCATTAACCTGCTTTCAACCTGTTGCCTGCAACTTTCGTGATCTAAGGGATTTCATCAAGCAAGTGACTACGTACTGCCTGAAATTTCCTACTGTTCTGACGAGGCTGGAGGTTTGAATTATACGCATGTGTTTCTATCAAGACCCCTGATGAGACCCCTGCCAGACCCTGGAAATACAACAACTCAGTGCTTGAGTTTTTCGTGGAGTTGGAGTCCACGAGTCGCATCAAGCAATCCGAGCTGGAGAAATTTCGGGAAGAAACGGAGCAGGCGCCCTTGTAGTGATCCAATTTGCATACTATAGATCAAATCATTAATTCCGCAATCGAAAGTTCTGTGCGCCATCTAGTGTGTCGCTACATTCATTGGGTGGTCTATTTATACCTAAACAGCTGGGCCTTGCCTTGACCTCCATGACTGATAGCGCCAAGAGAAGCACCTAGGATAGGTTTCATGCGTTCAGGTGATCAAACCCTTATATAAAGACCCAACTTACCACTGCAGTACTCCATCAACAGCCATCCACCGTAGTATGTGTAGTGGGGTATACATGGATTATACGGGAATTGCAAGGTTTGGGTAGTGTAGTACAAGCTTGGGAACAGTAGTATATACGAACTTGGGAACAGGGCATCCACTTGTTGGAGTAGCACGTGTGTGTGTGTGTGTGCGCGTGTGTGTGTGTGTATATGTAAGATACTTGCCCCATATTATAAAACTAACTACGGTCCCCTGCAAAGTCAAACGCGCATCTTTATTGCATTATATACCTCCAACATGGCCTTATGACTTCCAATTGAATGCAATGTTTAGGGTTTATATAGGGTTTACGTGGTCAATTTACAGGGTTCATGGGTCTATAGTGTACACACTCATTGTGCTAAAGATGCTTTTATATAGCTACCCAACATGAGCCCCATCAATTCATTTTGCATTCAAAGAAATCACTGGGCTGTTCCCGCGCAGTCGCATCTATAAGGGATCTTGCTCCACCCTGCCCAATTGCCCAAATACCGAGAAAGCCACCTTTGCCCGCATAGGAAGTTGCCCACAAAGTATAGCCCCCCCACTTATAAAATCAACCATTATGGGTCCAATTGTAATCCTGGTGTATGAAGCCATGCCCCAGTTTTCGCCATCCAGGTGGATCCGGCCAGCAAGCACCTTGAGGTGAAGAAGGGTGTGGCGACAGGCTTCACAGGGCAGCCTACACTAGAGCTTGGGGCGAGTGGCCAACAGGCCGCTACAACTGCGGATTTCGACAAGGCCTTTTTGCCATACAATGTTGTCCCCAGAACGCTTCAAACAGGGTTTATACAGAATAAGGTTCCAGTATTATAGATTATATAGTCTTCACGCCGATCTATGCTACAGGTGAAGGATGAGCTGAAGCGCTACACTGATATCCTGCTGAGCAAGACGCGCAGTGTCCAGCGCATGATGGATACTTTATCCTTACCCCACAACCCCAAGCCCACCACCGGCACCGAGGAGTCTCCAGACTTATCAGTCGTGATTTCAGCCAAATTAAACCCCCTAAAAGGGTTTGTATAGGGGATTAAAAATATATGGGACTATTAGGGGCTATAGTACGGGGAATATAGGAGTTTAGAATTGACCATTAGCCCAGGTTGGTTGCTGAGCTTCTGGTAATCCAGCAAGCCGTCACAACCGCGTACGAAAAGATAGCCGACCTCACGTCAAGGTGCGAGATGGAGACGGTGGATGAAGGTGGCGTTCAGAGGTGGGATCATTCCAACCCTATAAACCCTATATAGCCCTTGTAACACCCTATTTTTCGGCCCCATCAGCCCTATACATACCCTAACCTATTGGCCCAGGCTTAAGCTGGACTTTGCCAAAATCAGAGAGGAGGTGGCCAAGCCGTTCCACGCCTGACTTTATCGGACTTTGTGGTCAGGCCTATATAAGCATGAACCCTATGCATCTTTGCCCCTAAGGTGTGCCGAGTTGGTGGCCAAGGATGCCAAGTACAAGCAGCTTAGCTACATTGCCGTCCATTAGAATCGTTTGTGCGCTGTGTGCCTTTTTCCGAGAAATACCTGCATGGGCCCATGAGGCTCTTGATGAAGGGGGTGAATCTTGCTCGCAAAGCGAGCAAGGAGCCTGATCATGAAGATGAACCTGAAGCCACGCGGCCCCGGCGCCGTAAAGGCGCCAAAGCTGCGGCCTCAAATGCCACGCCTATCAAGACCCCGCAAAGGCGGGTGAGGATGAAGGGGCATGCCTAGAGGATCCTGGCATTCTTGAGATATGAGTATCCATGGTGTTTACAGTATACATGTGGAGCTTTGGAGTCCATCTTTCGACGTGGCTGCTTGCCGCGTGCCTCAATCGAGCGAGTCGTGTTTTTGGACACGATGCTGCTAGCAGCTCTCTGTGTGATCAGTGTCAATTTCATCGAGCTAGATTATGCTGCTGGGGACGTGGCGTACTCAAAAATGGAGTGAGCTCTTCGTGGTGCTTGTGGCTAATGTAGAACACTCCACTACCGGAAGGGGGGGAGGCAATCCTTTAACCTATATATAAAAGTATATGTGATAAAACAATAACATCTCAGCTTGATGTAGGGATGAGCACGTTCCATCGGAGACTACAACTTTACCTCCCCGATCCGAACCACCTCATTCCAAACCCTGTACGCACTGTACTGCATCGTAACTTACAGGTAATGAATGGGCCCATATATAATTTGCAAACGTGTTTGAGCATGTCCTTTCAGTCAAGATCGTCAGTAAAAAAAAGGTTCTTTATACGAATACGCTGGGGGTATATTTGCTGTTGTACTACTTGTTCCCTCCATTAATGCAAGAATCACATAAACAAGACAAATCCACATATCGATATGACCATAAACCCTATAAGCCCCATGTACATATACATATATATATATACTATATATATAGCCTATATATATAAACTCAACCCTCTAGCCTAAACCCCCTATAAATCCTCAACCCTCAGCCCTAAACGCTTTCAGGGTTGGGGTATCTTGCGCAACAAGGAATTCAGAAAGATTGCCCCTCCAATGTTGATTTTACGATTATATGCAAGCTGTTTATTTGGGAGAACAGGAGCCTTGTGTTGTATTCCTGCTATTTTTGTATACTACCCGCATGTACTCCAGAGACAACAAAAAACATAGCCTGCTTTGCCTTGCCATTCGCGAAATGGGTTTCAAGAAGGTTCTCTACCATCATAGCGGGAATAATATAAATCCAAGTAACCAATGAGACCTGATGATTGTTGGTGTATACTCCATGTAGAAGGGGGGAAATCTCCAAAATTACGTATACCTCCCTGTGCGCAACTATAGAAAACAAGTACTCAGGGTTGCCACTTCAATGTTGCGAATCAAGGCCCATCTAAACATCCCAAGTATCGTATGTTTAGAGTTCCCTATGTACCCCTCACAGTCCCATCCCCAGCCAGGTCCCTCTGCCACTGCAAAGCAGTTGGCTGCCAGTCTTGGTCGAGGAGCTCCTGCTCGCGAAGCGATTCGAATGGCCCGCAGCGTTGTTGCTGATTTTGGTCCTGAGTCTTGCTCGATTCTGAACAGTTTGAGCAAAGCTTCGGAGAAGAAGTCAGAGCCGTGCTTGTATTTCCTTAAAGATTTTTTACTTGAACACTTCAGGTCCTGTTTGGGGTGGGTGTGTTATATTAGAACACAGTATACATTGCAAGGAGCATGCTGCTCATAAAGAGTTCAAAGCGCTGTCTTTGGATGTGCCGATCAGCTACGTGCAGCTCGGGGAAGACTTGGACTACCCGCTCCTCAAGCCTACAGATTTTGTGAGGTACATCGCCCGTTTCACCTTTTGGGAGAAATTGTTTGGAGCAGAATCTCTATGCACTGGGGAGAAGCTACTCATGAGTTTTTGGAACAAATACCAGACCCTTCATCCCTCTTTCGAACTCTTTCATTTGACCTCTCCTTTGCCAGTTCATCGATGCGTTCCTGTGATGGTTCACGGGGACGAAGGCCAACACTTCAAGAAAGGAGCTGTTATGGTGCTACAGTGGCAGGGGGTATTGGGGCTAGGGACGACGGCCAACCAGCCAAAAGGAAACTGCATGGAGGAAGCCAAGTACATTAATCAGCGTCGCGTGACATTGTCCACGCGGTTCCTCTGCTCTGTGATGCCGAAGGATCTCTATAGGGCTATACTTCCTCAAGCTTTCCCGAGTTGCACACCCTGATGAAAAGATTCCCTTTAAAGCGTTCCCGCGCACTTGGATGTGTAGAACTAAACAGCCCTATAGACCTACATATCCCCCTAATTATTGTGGGCCTGAAATACCAATCCCGTGCGCCTCTTAGTATGGGTGATCTTTGTTTCGCTGGTAAAGGACTTCTACGCTACAGATGTGAAGAAGTTGGAAGCGCTGTTCGAAAGCATCTGCTTGGACTTGCGCGAGGCCTACCTGGAAGGGATCGCATTACCTGATGGGTCCAAAGTTCATTTGGTTCCAATTGGAGTCAAAGGAGACTGGCCGTTTTTGGACATTCATTTGAAATGGTAATCTTTGTTGAGATCGTTCCCTGGAGTTATCAAAATCTTAGCGGATAGAGCTTTCAAGATCACAGAGTATCCCCTCAACTACAGATTTCGGCTGGCCATCTTCAGCGTAACTTCCGGAAGAGCAAGAAGAAACAGTCTGGTGGCAAGCCCTCGGTTGGCATCTGCCATTTATGCAAAGCTGGCCAGCCAAACCTGGACTACGAAGATATGCAGCTAGCCCCATTAGTAGCAATTGAATTTCTTGCTTACATGAATGTTCTGGATGTTCCCAACTAACTTTGACGCTTGTGGTTGCTTGTATATAAACCCCCAACCTTTAGGAATCCAAAATGATGACCCAAACCACCTCATGCTGCCGCGCAGGAGCGATTGGCCGGCATACATGGAGACAGTTGATGAGGAACTTCCTTGGCTCCCAGGTGACGAGTCGTCGTTTACTAGACTTCTGCCCCAAGATGGGAACTCGCTGGCAGGATATTACAAACCTGATATATGGCATATCGTCCAGCTTGGCGTGGCCAAATCTTGGGTTGCATCTTGCTTTGTCCTTATCTTGCCTTTTTTGGGAGGGAACTCTATTCCAGAGCGGCTACAGGCGTTATCTGCAGCATATGGATTTTTCTGCTCCAGTTCTGAGTCTTGGCATGTAAGCAGATCCATACTGTACCGTTTGCAAGGATGACAACGCACGTTGTAACCTTGGATTCCGAAACTATACATACAATAGCCCCTAGGTCTTGATTAATTATATGAAATATATAGTATATAAGGTTTGGGAAACACATTTTGTTGCCTTTTCATTTTTTGGCCCAATTCAGGTGCCCAAGAAAACCAAATTCATCACCAAGGGCATTACGAAGGAGCTGTTGGGCTGGCCAAGTTCGAGCGCATGCCCTGAAGGTCATTGGAACAAAGGTGCTTTGACAACAACTTTCTTGGAGTTCCTGGAAGACTTTACATCACGACGTTTCTTCGAGCAAAACGAGGATGAAGTTTTGCGCCTGATCGCTACTAGTTTCTTATTAGTTATGGTTTTGCATGGTAGGAGACGCCAATTCATGTTCAAAACTTGTTTTAACATTCAAGACCTAAAATATATATATACCAAGTGGAGTTTTAAAGTAATCCCCCCCCAGTATTGGGTCTGGTTTAAGTCCCCGTCTCATTTATTGGAAAAACGATAAGGAGGAAAAACCAATAACGTTCAAGAGAGCACATCTCCAAGAATCCGCCCAATACCCGAAGAAGCCCGTCCCTTTCGGCCTAGCCTGCACTGCGATGTCCCCTGAGCTAGTGCCAGAGTTTAGGAAACATGCGGTATTCAGAACGATCTGTTATCGAGAATACATGACGATAATCAACATGATCATCCTGGTTTCTGAGAAGTAAATAGGAATCGCCTGCTATGTTTCTTTCCTTCCCCATTGCCATTCCAAACAAGGTATACTAAAGAATCTGTGTATATGGAGGTGGTCTTATAAAAGATTTGAGAAAATTTTACTGCGCTGACAAAGCCTGAGCCAGTTCCTTGTCTCATGCATTTTAAACACGTTATAAAGCTAAGCTCGCTAGAAGCCCCAACCCAGATACCTACAAGCGCAGTAATGTTCCCTATTGTATACTTTGCCCCAACACTAGCCTATTGGATGTTTTTTTGCACCCCCAAGCATATAAGGCAAGCGGAACAAGAGCCCTGAATGTCTTCATGAAGGGATTGTATGCTGGGGACCTGTTCTTAACGGGCAATGCCAGAGTCATTGTGATTGACGCTGGCAACCATTTCCTCAAAGCGTCGGGGCGGCTGGCTTTTCTGACCTTCTCTAATGGGGAGGATCGCTTCCCCGTTACTCCCAAGCACCATATGATGTTTCACCTGTGCAAGCTGATGCAGTGGCAGTCTGATGTTCATGGCTACTGTATGAATGTCTTGGTAGATGCCTGCTACCAGGACGAGGACTTCGTGGGGAGGCTGGCCCGGTTATGCCGGGCCGTCTCCCCACGAGCTACTGCAATTAGGACGATCCAACGGTACCTCTTGCAAACGAGGGCGGTGTGGTTCAAAACTGACCCAGACTGAGCTGAACCCTTTCCAAAATCCCGTATATATAGGGATATCCCTAGTAATGCACCCCTGAACCTGCCAAGTTCTGGCCAGTTTTAATTAAAGTGAGATTCGGGACGAGCGAGCAGCGCCAACTTGCAGCGGAAAGGCCATTCGGCTCCAGGCGATGGGAATCCATAGTTAGCCGATGCATTGTGGATTTCTTCAGCAGGGTTGGGACTCTTCATGAATGGTGTTCTTGTTTTGGAAGGCTTGGGACCCATACCTACATGGTGAGAACTGTTGCAAAGTTCTTCTGATAAAGAGGTTGTGGGTTGGGAGCCATATTCAGGGTTGTGTAATGTTACTCAACCAATACCAGCTTCCTGCAGTCAAATTGGACAGCTTGGCGGCATACATGTCTACTTTGAATCCTCACATTCACCTTCAAAACAACCTTCTTGCAGAAAGCCACCCTAAGCACACAAAGCCAATTTGAAGGGGAGTTGTTTTTCCCGTTCGGACCTTGTTTTCCCCGTTCAGGATTTGGAAGCTCTGGGGAAATGATATATTTCTGCAGTGGTGTTGAAGTTCTCAGGCCTTGGGGGCCACAGGTAAGCTCCAAGCCCTAAACCCTAAACTCTAAGCTTGGATTTCCCCATGGTATATAGTGGCAACTACGGTACCTCTTTTTTGGGCGCTTCGTTCGAGGTCCGGAGGTGGCGACTTAGGCGCTGGACCACGCAGGAAGAACTCCCTGTCAGAGGCCGATTCAGGGGTGAGGGTCTTAGGGTTAATCTAGGGGTTAAGGTTTAGGCTGTCTAGAGGCTGATTCAGGGGTGAGGGTCTTAGGGTTTAGAGATTTGGGGTTTAAGGGATCTAGGGGTTAAGGTTTAGGCTCTCTAGACGCCTTCAGAATAGTCCCTTAAGCCATTCCTTGACTTCCTACTGAGCACCATCAGGGGACGGAATGAGTACTCTGATTGCGCTTGTAGTCGTTCCTAAGCTACTAAATCCCTAAGAACCCGAACCCCCTTAACTGGATCAATGCTAGGGATCGTTTTTTGTTTAAGTTTGGGGTATGAGTGTCTTTATATTTATGTAAAATGTATCCCTTTTTCTTCCTGATGTAGTGTGGTGGGCTAAGTAAACCCCAAACAGTATAGTACCTCCCATTTAGTTTTCCATTCTTCCATTCCGTACTCATTTCACTTGACTTTCACACATGTTTCTTAAACCTCATACCTCCGCGTATGTATGTCTATCTATCTATCTGTCTGTCTATCTATCTATCTGTCTATCTATCTATCTATCTATCTATCTATATGCTTTTTACACCTTTTATGTAACCCTATACAACCCTAGAACCCTAAACCCTGAGCCCCAATCCCTCAACTCCAGAAAAAAATAAACTCTGAACCCTAGAACCAAGCAAGCCCTGCAGGTGGCGTTGCTGCCATGGATCTGTTGCATGGCTCCGGCTATCCTCCTCTTCGCGAACTACCTCTTTGCGCCTTAGTTGTCCGGTCTTCTAAAGTTTAGGGTTTAGGATTTAGGGTTTAAGGAGTTAGGATTTAGGGTTTCGGGCTTAAGGATTGTCAGTACCCTGATTCCCTATAAAGCCAGCAAGAATCCTCAGCAGCTGGCTTTTGGAAGTGCCCGGAAGTACCCTTCTGAAAGCCTACGTGGGCCCGCTACTAAAAGGACAGTAGGCTTTGTAGCCCTGTTTGGGCCTGCATGTTGGTAGTGCCAGGACTTTGGCCTTCAAATAAATCGTATACAACCCCTAAACCCTAAACCCTGAACTCCGAGCCCTAAACCCTAAACCCTGAACCCCTTTAAGGGATCTGCGGGTTGGTAGCTTTGTGTTGGCAGAGGTTCACCAGGAGGCCCTTGAAGGGTTTAGGGTGCGAGACGCACGCGAGACCTCGACACTTGGTTGGCCCAAGTGGACACCACTGTAATTGTATTCTGCACCTGCGATTCATATCAAATCCCTGTTGTCACAACTTTCAGACATATTAGGAGACAGCTCTAGTCACGGGTCCTTGTGACACGCTCCTTTGCCGCCGTTCTTGCTTGCGACCTCCCATGCTGCACATCTGGAAAGCTTCGGGAGAGGAGCTTGCTACAGTTCCAGTCGAGGAGTTCGACGTGCTGAGTCTCAAGCAACATCTGCAGCCGCTTTGTGGCGCATCACGGTTCAGACAGCGGCTTCTACACGGCGAGGAGAATTTGAGCGATGATATTAGGCTGGACGCGCCCATGGACCTGCAGCTGGTTCTGCTACCCTTCATCGATGCCACGGATGAAGAGGGGACACTTGAATCGTCTTCAGGAAGTGCTAGTATGAAACATATTCCCCGTTAATATTGGATTCAGGTATACATAAACTTGTGCATTACATCTTTTTGAGCAGCAACCCAGGATATTGTTTGTGGAGGCTGCAGCCCGTGGGTTGGTATCCCAGGTTGAAGAGATGTTGCAGCGACCCCAGAGTCCTGACGCAACGAATTGGAGGCCAGCCCTTCACCGAGCAGTGGAGAAGGGCCACTTGGAAATTGTCAGCCTTCTTCTAGAAGCCAGTGCAGACACAGATGCAACGGACAGGGATGGCACAACAGCTTTAAGAGATGCGGCTATGCAGGGATCGGTGGACATGACACGATTGCTGCTAGCATCAGGCGCCAGCCAAAATGTCTGCGACTACAATGGCCGAAGCCCTCTGTGGGCAGGATGCTTCCAAGGACATGTGGCAATCGTACAGCTCTTGCTTACAGCGCGTGCTGACAAAGAGACGCCTGCCAACAATGGCGACACGCCTTTGTGGGCAGCGCTGCACCATGACAGGTTGGACATCGCAAAGTTGTTGCTAGAAGCTGGGCCGGAGAGGGAAAAGCGCGACGCTGATGGGGTTTCACTGCTGGGATATGCATCCATGAAGGGCCATATCGACATCGCACGCCTGTTGCTGGAAGCAGGCGCGAACTTGCGAGCCCGTGACAAAATGGGCATGACGCCTCTCTTTGCAGGGAGTTTCTATGGGCACGTGGAGATTGTGCAGCTGTTGCTGGCGGCCCGTGCCGACGCTGGGTTCTTCTTTGGCATGCTTCTAGCCAATTTGCAGGGCGTGTTTCCATTTGAAAGTTTTTAGAATCCTGATTCCTAAATCTGGAGATCTTGGCGCTGCAATCCCATACGGAGGCTTCTGTACCAAAGGAGCTACAGGGATGGACGCGAAGCCCAAACCATCAGACCGAACCCAATTACGCCCCTAAGCCCTCATATCCTTAAACCCGCAACCCTAAACCCTAGATCCCAAATCCCCAGCCTTAAATCTTAAAGCCTGAGCCCTAAACCCCGAACCTTAAACATGATGTAAACCGTAATCCCTGTATAACCCCCATGGCCCTCAACCCAAAGCTTTTAATCCCCTCCCCCTGATATTAAACCCCGCCCACCCCCGTAATATTGCATACGCCCGATGTATTGTAATATGTGTTGGGAGCAATCAATTTGGGGAGGGGAGGGGGGTGTTGGGGTTGAATAGTAGGGGGAGGGGATGAATCCAGGACAGACGGATGGCAGCCAGGGATGGCCGTACCGCGGTCAAAGTTGAACACCGATTTTCAGTGTCTTATTCTTATTCTCATTACCATTATTATGGTTCTTCCGGTCTAGGGTTTAGAGTTTTGAGTTTTCGGTGTCAGTTTCTTACATTTGTTGCTACTATTTTGCATTTTGCTATTGTTACCACACTTGCTATTCTTACTCTGTTATTAAGGCTCAGGGTTTCAGAGTTTTGGGTTTAGAATTGTTATTGAACTGTATTTCCTGGTTTTATCATTCCTGTTGTTGACGTATTCGATTGCTTTTATGATTGCTATTCGTATTGTGAGCCTCACATGATTACCATGGTTGTTCTCATCATTGATGCTACGCGCTTGTGTTGTTTGTTGAAGTCATTATTGTTATTATTGCCGCTTTCATACGGACGCCCGCAAAGGATATCAAATCATAACTTTGAACGGTATCCCTTAGGCCATTCCCCCTCACAGCAACTTTTGCCGCAATGGATAATAGGGCTTATGACCCTCCAGAAGGCCCCTTTAAGGACAGTCACTGTAGGGGGGAATGACCCATGATATCTCTAAATCCTGAGCCCTAAACCTTAAACCCGAAACTAGACCAGGTACAGCCATGGAAGTAGCCTCCCGGATCGGCCGGACACAGATAGCAACCAGGTTCCTGTTGAGAACGCTGGTCCGGGATGCGTTTCAAGGGGTTGGTTAGGATTTCGGGCTCCGGGAATGTGCTTTGGGGGTTCAGGCTTTATGGCTTGAGTGGTTTTTCAAAATTAGTAGTGTCGGGGCCCGAATTGCTGGAGTAGAGCCAAAACAAACCACACTTGCTTGCCGGGACCCCAAACCCCCCCTAATTCAAAAGGCCTACTAGGTCCCGTTATAGCATCAAATAATCCTTCATAGGGCCCTTGATTTGCCAGAACAGCCCCTAAACCCTAAACCCTCTAACGCCAACCCAGGTGAAGTTGCTTCAGGATGTTGCAGCTGAGGAGTATACAGCGCGAGGCGGGCCTCGCAAACGGTTTAGGGGAACTAGGTCATAGGGTATAGGGCTTGAGGTTTCAGGGGTTAAGGGCTTATAGTCCCCCCTAAGTAGATAGAATATGGGGTATATGGGGATCCTATTTTTAACATACCCAAAGCCATATTCTATCTACTTAAGGGGGACTATAGGGGCTTGGACCTTTAGGAATTGGAGTTTAGGGTCTAATGTTTAGGTTTTAGGGGAGGATCCCCCAGTATGGACACTGCCCTCTCGAGAGGCATTGCCTCATGGGACCCCAAGAATGCGATAACGCCCTAAAACCCTCCAAACTTACGTTCAAAATGAACTCCTTAACCCGAAACCTCAAACCTAAATCCTAAAGAAAACACCAAAACGCTAGTCAAAATCATTACCCTAAAATTTTCCCATTCCCTTTCTCCCTGATATGTGCATTAAATATTCCTACTGCGGTGTACTTTAACATATTGGGAATATCTAATATTAGAGGGGAGGTGGGTGGGGTGTTTTCCCTCAGGATCTACCGTAGATCCGAAAATCCAAATCCAAAACCCCACATCCTGAACTCCAAAACCCAAGCCCAGATCCTAAGCCCTGAACGCCGGTAACGTGGGGCACAATTATCAATGTGGTTGTCCTAGATTCCTTGCATAATCGTATTTGCTTCCCCATATTTTAACCACCCCCCCCCGCCCCCCCGTATTTAAAATTGAACAATGTGGGACCCGATAACGATGTTTACTAGGCGGGATATTCATTGACCGCATTAGATAGGGCTTCCGCTTAAAACCTTTTTGGATTCCTTCCAATTGGAATCTTATTTAAAAATTGAAACGAGTTGAGAGCAACACTGAAATAAAATCAAATTCCACCTACAACCTAACTACAAACAATCTACATGAGTTGAAGCTTAATTAAATTCCAAGTAGCATCATTAATTCACAATTCAGACCAATTGAAATCTAATTAGCACTGGATAAACAAGATTTCTCAACCTGTCGTTAATATGAACTGAAATCTAATGAAGAAATTCATGAAATCAAGATAGTTAACATCTAAGTAACACCCATCTAATGTCGGTTGCAATTTAATCTAAAACCCAGTTACAGTCATCAGGATCTAGTTCAATCGAGTTCTAGTTAGTCCCTTCCTCTAATATAAACGCCCCCAAATGTCAAACAATAGATTCAAGGGCCTGAACATCCGGAAGAGGACTTTTTCAGGGCAAGATTACTTTAAAAGGGGCTGCCTTCTAATGAATCAGGGTGTGGTCCTGGCGCTATCGATTCAATTAGTTATTCATATAAATGATCCAATTGCAATATCCAATTATTGATTGATGAAATTAACTGATTCAGTTAATGAATTCTTGATGTTCCATGGAGCTTAACGGATTTCGAAGGCAGCCCAGGAGCCCTATCCAATTCGTCCAATAACCCCCCCCCCCCCCCTTATCTGAAGATACTTGGAGGTTCATGGGACTTCGTAACTATTTATAACTGGGGTTATAACCCTACTTATAAGTGGGGTAACCGCTATAAGGCCATTTAGAGGGGTTATAAGTAGGGTTACAAGCCCAGTTTTATATAAATAGTTACTGAGTCTCATGAACCTCCAAGTATATTTGTGGCCCAAGTTGTTTAGTGGTACAGGGGGGTTGGGGGGTGGGGGACGGCGTTCGTCGTTTAATATTAGCGGGAAGCGATGAAGATCTACATAAATCCCGTGAAGTACAGTCAACATTTAATTAAAACCGATTGAAATCTAATCGAAGGCAGATTAAACAGGATTATACTCGCAATGGAATCAGTTGAAAATTTCATTCAGATCTCGCGAATCCATCAAAATCTAGTTAAGTCAAATATGTCGCGATAATGATCGTATGAAATTGATTCAAAATTGCATTTAGATTTCACATAAGTTCCTTTAGAAACTTTCTGAAAATAGTTAAAACCTAGGAAATCAAGGGGTCCCTAATTCCCTGGGATTCCTTGTTCACTATACCTGCCCTAATGACCTCAGAACCCCGCCTAACTCATTATTAGGCGGCCCCTTTTAATAGTAGTCTTGGGCTTTTAAAAATGCTCTTCCGGAACTTGAGGCCACTCATTTTATGAAAATAAACTGGAGGGTGTTTTACTATGAGGGGGAAGTGACTAGTATGGGGTGCCTCGAATAGACTTCAACATGATAGTGTTTTTATTTAGGCGCCTACGCTACCCAACACTCTCCTGGTACAGGTGCCCTTAGACCCAAAACCGTAGACCCTTTACCCAAACCCCTGGAGGTACAGGTGCAGCAAAGGCAAGCCCCGAGGTCACGCGCACTACGGCAGCACCAACCAGGTCCAGGACACTGGCGGCGAAGGTTCCAGGACTTTGAATTTAGGGTTTAGGGCTTACACATTAGGATTGAGGGCTTAGTGTTTGGAGTTAAGGTTTAGGGCTTTGGCTTTAGGGTTTAAAGTTTACGACTTACCCTTTAGAGCTTAGGGCCTTGGGCTTAGGCTTTGCGATGCTGTGGATGGAAGAACTTTTGCACCCTGTAGACATACGTTGTACTCGAATTAGAAAGTTCCGCAGAACGGGAATCCTAAACGTTGCAAGATTTCCTCCATCCACTCTGACATTCTCTCCTCGTTGCCCGTATCTTGTGTCATTCCTGGACCCTGTTGAGAGATGTGCGATACATCTACGGTTGTACTTGCTCGAAGTTCGCTGACTATGCGTCAGGTTCTTCCCAGCGCGTCCAGTGGCTTTTCACAAGAGCTTCGTCTACGTGCAGGATACCCCAGTGGCAAGGGCTTGCAAAAGAGCAGCGGCAACAGGGCCATCAATTCAGGCTCTTCCCTTGGCAAAGGCACACAGAAGAGCAGCAGCTGCAACAAACCCATTTCAACTCAGAGCCCAATTCCGGCACGCACCCGGAGCCCAACAAGTACAAGCAACAGAGGACGGGCGACCGTGGGACTGGAGCAAAAGCTTGTGAGCAAGCCTGCAGCTAAAGCCGTGGGCAAAGCTGCAAGCAAGCCTGTCACTAAGGCTTCAAGCAAGCCCTAAAGGTAGCAATGACAGTGAAGCAGAGCTGTGCGAAGGGCTGGAAAAGCGTGGATCCTGGCTGTGTCGCAACTTGGAACCTTGAGGATGAGAGCTGGAATCTGTTAAGGCCGATTTGTGCTTCGGGGGTTCCATGTACCAATGCGTAATATGATGGGTGTACATGGTTCCTGAGAAAGCCCTCCGGCTAGTTGATTCGTTATGATGCGCTGGCATTATCTTTTTGGGGCTTCGTCAGTCCCAAATAGTTCTGGAAAGTGTAGGAGCTCTGAGAAAGAGGATGGTATGTCGTCGTGGTTGTAGAGATGGCTGCACACGAGTATGAAAAACCTGCGTTGAATAACATCACATATGGGCCTTTCTCAAGCAATCGGGCCCCTGTATGCAGCTTAAACAATAGAAATGTATACTGGTCAATGGAACTGGGTCATCATCACGGGGACTTTCAGAACTCGACCCAGAAGTCTGGAGACGCTCGCGCCCTCTGCAAGCCCTCTGTCGGTTCTCACTTTGCCCGAACTCTAATCAGGGATTAGATGTTACTTTGGAGGGTCAAGGAGACTCAGTAAGTCTGGGTAAGCATATTTATAATCTTTATAGGCCACATGATAAGCCCGAGTATTATTGGACGCCCCCTGACCCCCCAAGTAGGGGTCGTCTCAAACGGGTCATTGTTGAATGTGGTTGTTCGTTCTTATTGAACTAAAGCCCGGTACGGAACATGAAAGGTAGTAACCCAATGTAGGATCAGTTCAATAGGGGGTTGGGGGTGTCTGTTAAGCCGTTCAACCTTTAATCCATGTTAATCCTAAGCCCTGGACTGTGTGCGATTCTTCTCAATCAACAATGGCAGCTTGTGCAATGGTGTGGTTGGATCTTGTTTTCTGAGGCTATATTCGCACCTTGCAAGGATCGTCCTTGTAGCCTTTACTTGGCTTGCGGAGTACGAAAATTGTGAACCACCCCAAGTCTCAATGTGTTTAGGGTTTAGGGTTTAGGGTTTAGGGTTTAGGGTTCGAAAACCCAAGTAAGTGGGTATTTCGCACACTTCGGGTCCTTCGATACACGCAATATCCCTAAACTCTCAACCTTGAAGCCTTCACCCATGAGCTGCCAACTATATACTATAGTAGTTTCCATTTTCTTTTCCATTAGCCCAGTATAAACCCCAATACATCCCCAACATATATATATATAATATTCTCATAAACAGTAGCTTCCATTTTCTTTTCGATTATCCCGTTATAGTAGTTTCTACAGTCAGGATTTCGGAGGGGCCTACAGGGGGGGTTGACGCAGGGACCAATAAGGGAATATACTGCAAGTCAGTCCAGAGTTCGGTAGTTTTCCTAGATGTGAAAACATTGTTGTATTTTTACTTCCCTAAATCTGTAAATAATCTCATTAGAGCCATAAAACATGTACTGTCTAAAGGGCTCCCAAGCCTACCCGAGCCTTTGCAGTTCCAAGAACTGAAGTGAGGTGGATATTTCCAAAAGGCCTGTCCCTATGCATTCCCGCAAGAAGAGTATCAGGCCCAGACTTCCAACCATAAGGGGCTTTAGGTTTGAGGCCCTAAACCTTAAACCCCAGACCGCAAAGAGAATTGAGGTAGTCTCCGTTCTCTCTTCCACGCTTTCAATCCCTTCGCTACCCACCTCAAACCTTAAGCCATGTCGTAGTTCTATTGTTTTTCCAGTTTCTTCAGTCCGTACAAACCACCAGTAACATGAAGTGAGGCGTTGGGATTTCCCTAACGCTATAGATCCCTCCTCATTCTGGGAACAGTCATTAGGCCAAGTCCCATATATACACACACACACATTATATGGTAACACCCCCGCAAAATCCCCAGTAAAAGTTCAGGCGGCACATGTTTGGGGCCCCGATTTCCAACCTTGGAGAACCTAGAGATTCCAACCACCCTCTACCTAGGCCCAAGTATTATTGAGGATCCTATGGCCCCAACTAAGGGGACCTAGTAACTAGTCACAACTGGGGGTTATAACCTTGGGGCGACCCCTCCAAGGCTATTTGGGGGGTATAAAAGTAGGGTTCGATGCCCACAGATATAACTAGTTACCAAGTCCCATGAACCTCCAAGTAGGAGTGCAGACCCTAACCCTGAGCCCTAAAAAGGGTAGTAGGAGCGTCCTGGAAGTGAGGTGTTGGGATCTGCTCTTTGGGCGCCATATGTCTTCGACTGGATCTGTGCGCTGTTGACGTGTGCCATGGTCTGCAAGGTTTAGGGTTTAGGGTTAAGGATTTGGTGGTTAGGTTTTGGGTCTTTACCCTAAACCCTAAACCCTAGAGGTTTGGGTCTTAGGATTTGGCGGTTTATTGCTTCGGGTTCAGGAGATTAGGGTTCAGGGCTTGCTGGGTGTTCAGGGTTTAAGGGAACCCTAAACCCCAAACCCTGAACTGTTTTTAACCTCGAACTCCCAAACTTCCCGAACATTTAACCCCTTACACCCTAAACCCACAACCCCCGCAGCCCCTAAACCGTAAAGATCACCACCTACACCCTAAACCCCAGAACTCTAAAACCTACAGCCCAAACTCTAAACTGTTTACACCCTAAAACCCTAAACCTTGATTTCTAAACCCTACAGACCGAAAGCCCAAATCGACTCACCAGGCAAACCCTAATCCCTAAACCCCTAAACCCCTAAACCCTAAACCCTAAACCATAAGCCCCTAAACCCTAAACCCTTAAACCCTAAACCCTAGGCGTGACCTGGTTCTGGATTGCCAACATGTGCATCTCTTCGGGCTTTGGAGCCTGGAAGCTGCGAAAGGCCCAGGATTTTCGGGTTTAGGGTTCAGGGTTTAGGGTTTAGGGCTTAGGGATTAGTGTTTAGGGTTTCGGGGTTTAGGGATTAGGGTTCAGGGTTTGAGATTCAAGGCTTTGAGCTGGGTTTGATTTTTCTGGCTTTTTTAGAGCTTAGAGGTTTTCCTTCTTCTCGGAGGTAAATAAAACAAACTCGCCAAAGAAGGTTGTTATTCTACACGCGTTTGGGGTTCAGGTAGTGTTCAGGGTTCAGGACGCGAAAGGCCAGGATAAATTATGGCAGCGCCACGGGGTTTAGGGATTCGGGGCTAGGAATGGAAAGGAAAACGGAAACTTCTCTGTTACTTAGGATTTAGGTGTCAGGGTTCAGGAACAAAGGTTTTGTGTGGTTGTAGGGTATAAGCTTCAGCTATGGGGCTTAGGGTTTGATGTGTATATGCCTAAGTACTTTGTGACTAGTACGGTTCTGAGGACACTTGGCAATGTTCCATCTTTTTTAAGGGTTAAGATCGACCCTGAACCCTAAACCTTAAACCCCAAACCCTAAACCCTAAACCCTAGACCCAACAGAATATCTCATGCTTGGGTCATCTTCAAGGTTTAGGGTTTAGGGTTTAAGGTTTAGGGCTTAAGGTTCAGGGATTAAGGTTTACGATTTAGGATTTAGGGTTTAGGGTTTAGGGACTACTTGGCATATGCTTCATTGCCTCATGTTACAAACTGAAGTTTGTTTTGTTGATGGCGGTCTTATCTTCCTAGGGTCTTAGGGGCCCCAAACCCTAAACCCCATTTTGGGAAACCCTAAACCCTAAAACCCTAAACAACCCTAAACCCTCAAGCCCAAACCCTGGAACCCTAAACCTCTAAAACCATGTTTTTTCGGATTTGGATTTATGATTAGATCAGGATGTCCTTAAGGGGGTGGTCCAAGAGGGGTAGGTAACCTAGTAATCCCAATTATTCCCGTATACTCCCCAAGCTTCCCTAAGCTTCCCTAAGGTTCCCCAAGGCTC